GCTCTTCCTAAGGCAGGGCCCCTGTAAGCCAGAACAGCTTTCAGCCTCCAACCAGGTGCCAGCGAAGGTGGGTGTGGGTTGGGGGAGCAGCAGAGGTGGGTCTGGGGCAGGACTTCATCCCACTGGGTTCTGTCCTTAGTGCTTGATGAAGCCACCAGTGCCCTGACCGAGGAGGTGGAGAGCGAGCTCTACCGCATCGGCCAGCAGCTGGGCATGACGTTCATCAGCGTGGGCCATCGGCGCAGCCTTGAGAAGGTACCCGTGCCCACAGGATGGCCTGAGGAGGAGAAAGAATGCCAAGGCTGGGCCTGGCCAGGGCCAGAGCCCCCTCACAATGGAGAGAGGGGATGGCAGAGAGGGCAGGGGATCTGTCACAGCCAGGGCAGCCTGATCTCTGCGTGGTGGTGGTCTCTTGTAGTTTCACTCCTTGGCTCTGAAACTCTGTGGAGAAGGAAGGTGGGAGCTGACCAGAATCAAAGTGGAATGAAGCCAAGGCTGGCCACCGGCAGGAGAGCCAAGCCCAGGAGGTCGCGTCCCCAGGAGAGACCAGGAGGGCTGATGGTGCAAGGAAGGAGCTCCAGGTTTGCCTCACAGGTCCTGTGTGGGAGTGCCAGCAGCAGTGGACTCAGCCCACGTGTGGCCCTCCACAGGACCCTCATCCTGCCAGGGTGCCTCCTGCTGCCTCAGCCAGAGCTTCGTACACTTGACGTGCTGATTACTTCACCTATGACCTCAGATAGTGTTTCTAAAGAAAACCTGAAAGTGTGGGATCTATAAGAAATGCAGGGTCAAAATGGAGAGTGTATCGGACTTGGAGTCAAGAGCTCCAGGAATCTTTTAGAATACATCAATTTTGCAACAGTAGATTTTTAACTTTAATCAACTATTTAAATTTTATAACTTTTTAAAAAAGAAAAGATAAACATGTTTTTAAATTTGCAGCTTTTCCCTTTTTTCTTTCTTCTTCATCATAAGATTATCTTTTTTTTTTTTTTTTGGCCGCGCCATGCGGGATGCAGGATCCATGCAGGATGTGAGATCTTAGTTCCCCAACCAGGGATCAAACCCGTGCCCCCTGCAGTGAAAGCATGGAGTCTTAACCACTGGACCACCAAGGAAGTCCCTAAGATAATCTTCTTAATTGACTCTCCGGGCTTGTCTTTGAGAACCTGGGGGGGGAGCAGCACTCTCCACTGTGCTGGAACCTTCTGCCCGTTGGTTCTTCACTGGCATCTCCCACTTACCCATTGACAGTTGTCCCTCAGCCAGTAACCTCGAGGGCCCTTCAGCTTTTCTTAACCCAGATGAAAATAAATCCCGTAATATTTTTAAGTTAATTCATTTCTTAAATGCATTTTTTAAAATATAAATTTATTTATTTATTTTTGGCTGCGTTGGGTCTTCGTTGCTGCACGCGGGCTTTCTCTAGTTGCAGTGAGTGGGGGCTACTCTTCATTGCGGTACGCGGGCTTCTCATTGTGGTGGCTTCTCTTGTTGCGGAGCACGGGCTCTAGGTACGCGGGCTTCAGTAGTTGTGGCTCGCGGGCTTGTATGTGGGATCTTCCCCAGACCAGGGCTTGAGCCCATGTCCCCTGCATTGGCAGGCAGATTCTTAACCACTGCGCCACCAGAGAAGCCCCCTAAATGCATTTTTAAAGGAAAGTTTACACTTGATATAAATAGAAGGTAACTGTAAAAATGAATACAAATAATGTTATGAAATGGCAGCTCTGTACTGTGCCTGCAAAGACTCTACAACTGAGGCTTGCTCTCTGTGCAAAGGGAGGTTAGGGATGTTACAGAGGAGTTAGACATACTGGCACCCAACTGAGAATCTTCTTAATAGATTTGGGGAAGTGGAATGGGAACCGCAAGGGGAGTGATTTTCCTCTCTCTCTAAGACGAGGTTATTTAATGCCTCTTGATACCACTGAAAATGATCCCAGATGCGGGGTGGAGCTCCAGACTTGGGAAGATGTCGGCGTGGGTAACATGTCTAACCCCCTCCCTCCATGGAGTGGCTGGCAGGGAGGCCTCAAGCCTATTCTCAGCTCTGCCCCATACAGGTGCTAAAGCAGTGTGTCCCGGTGCCGAGCTGAGAGAACTCTGGGGTGGGCACCTGACCAGGTCTGATTGTTTGTCCAGTCTCCGGTGAAGCCTCCTTAGGGACCTACAGGATGTCAGCATCGGGAGGGCCCATGGCAGCCCTTCTCGTGGGGCTGAAAGGGACCGTCAAGGTCGGCATCTGCTTCAGGAGCCTTCCCATACTCGAATCTCCCAACCATATCCTGCCAGGTGCTCTTCTGGCCTCTGTTCAGACACCTCTAACATTGGGGGCCATCCATCCTCAGACCCCTCTGAGGAAAGCTCTTCCTGAAGCCAAGGGGAAACGTATCTCCCTCAGGATCCCCCTGACTCCCAGCCCTTGGGCATGTTTTAAATTGTGAAGTTCGGGTGTGGAAAGACCCTCTCTGGCTTAATTTCTGTACTTTCATCAATATAGCTGAAGCTCCCCTCAGCCTTTTTGGTGATAGCATTGCTTCACTGACTTGCCTCATCCTCACAAGCTCCTTCAACTCCTAAGCCTTTTTCACAAGTGCTGCTGCTAGCAGACTGTTATAGAGACCAAGTTTGTTCCTAACTCAGAGTCTTTGCACTTGCTATTTCCTCTGCCTCAAACATGTTCCCAGTGCTGTTTCTGTTCTTAATACTCAAATACTCAGCGTCCTCCCTTGCAGAAACTCTGCCAAGAGAAGGCCGTTCTTAGAGGCAGACTGTACCCTTATCCATCATTCATCTCAGAGATGGTGGCTACTTGAGAGTTTTAGGTGAATCGATACAAACCTGCATGAGGAGAAGTCAGGTTATGTGTCCGCAGTGTATGACAAGGACCAAAATATTTATTTTAAATGTTTTAAAATAAGCCAGGCAAATAATTTCCCAAACTTAAGTCTCATTCTGCCACCTAGGAATCTACACAGACCCACGTGGATGATACATAGAAATGTTATCCTTATATCCCTCTCATCACTCTTCTGAGGAGTCCTGGAGCCATGGGACAGGGCAGAAAAGCAACCTTTTGTTATCTCCATCAAGTTCCGCTTACCTACCGTATCAACTTGTGTACCACCCCAGTCGTTTTGGGGTGGAGAATAACAAACTAGTCTCTGTTCTGCCACAGCCCACAGGGAGCTGTGCTCTGTGTTCTGCATCCAGGACAGTCTCCCAGGAAGCCAAAGAAGAGCAATGCCAGCTGCCTTCTGTAAAGACTGCCTTTCCAGAAACAGTCTTGGTGCTATTTCCTTCTGACATCCTGTCTAGGTGTCAGAATGATGGGTGGCCCTGGGCTAAACCCTGGGCCAGGAAGGAGCCCCTGGAGGCACAGGGAGTTGTCAGGAGAACTGGTGCCAGGAGAACAAGCCAGCTGAAAGGGAGCCCTGGACTGGGGAGCTGCAGAGACTGTCCTACCAGGAAGTAGGGTAAAGTGCGGACAGGCATCAGGCAGGGGACATGTGCTGGGGAACACTGTCCTCAAGCCTCTGGCAGGGTGAGGCTGGACAACTGGCCAGTGGATTTGCCCATCTGTAAGTAGTTAAACGTTCTGAGGGTCAGATGCCTCTGGGGAAGGTTTCCCTGGGAAAGTCCAAAGACAGGGCAGAGACTTTTACCTAACATTGCTATCAGACCCTGACCCCAGGCCCAGAACTGCCAGCCCACAACGGAGTGAAGGGGGAAAAAAAAGCAAGTCTCAGTCTTGAACTGGCGGAGAGATTTGTGCAGAGCTTGCATGCTTGAGGGAAGCCCAGCTCCTGCCACATTCTCTTAAGAACCCTGCGAGGAAGATGCTTCCTTTTCTTTCCTTTTTACCCCAGTTGAAGAGTCTGAGCTTCAGGACCTAAAATGACTTGCTTAGGAATCTCAAGTTCAAAACAGAAATCCTCAGCCTCTGACTCGCCCCCACCTGCTGCATTCATCTTGCCCATCTCAGGGAATGACACTTCCACTGTCCACCCTGAGCTCAGGCTAGAGACCTGAGACCCTCCGGACTTCCTTCCCCATATCCAATCCATCACTACATCCCATGGGTTCTGCTTCCAAAATATATCTGAAGCCCACCTCTGCCGTCCCACGAGGCCACCACCAAGTCCACCTGGACAACTGTGGCAGCCTTGTCCCTGGTCTCCCTGCTGCTTTTCCCAACCCCCAACATCCTCCACAAAGCAGCCTGAGGGACCTTAAAAATGCAAATTAGCTGTGCCCTACATTAAAGTCCAAAATACTGGGCCTGCAAGGCTGCACTCCTATCCCTCTCCTCGAGCCCATTGGCCTCTGTCATCAGAGATGGGCCAAGCTGGTCCAGCTGAGAGCCTTGTTCCCGTGCATTCCTGGAAGCGCACAAACTACCAAGACTGACTCAAGGAGAAACAAAATCTGAATAGATCTATAACAAGTGATTGAATCAGTAATCAAAAACCTCCCAGCCAATAATCCTCCCTCCCTCCCCAATAATCTGAGGGCCAGGCGGCTTCACTAGTGAATTCTACCAAACATTTAAAGAATGTTTCATATCAATCCTTCTCAAAATATTCCAGAAAATAGAAGCAGAGGGAACACTTCCTAACTCATTCTATTAGGTCATCATTGCCCCGCACCAAAGCCATAAAAGACATCACAAGAAAACTGAAGACAAATACCCTTTATGAATATAGATGTAAAGATTCTCAACAAAATACTAGTGGACAGAATCCAGCAGTATATTGAAAGCATTATACATCATGATCAAGTGAGATTTAGCCCAGGAATGCAAGGGTAGTTCATATGAAAATCAACGTAAAACACCACAGTAGAATGAAGGGGAGAAGCCACATGATCACCTCTATTGGTGCAGAAAAAGTATCTGATAAAATCCACCCCCCTTTTATGATAAAATCACTCAATAAACAGACTAGAAGGAAAGGGAATTTTCTAAACATGATAAAAGACATATAAAAAAAACCCTACATCGTACTCGGTAAAAGACTGAAAGCTTTCCCACTAAGATCAGGAACAAGACAAGGATGACTGCTTTTACAAATTTTATTCAACATTGTACTGGAGGTTCTGGCCAGAGCAGTTAGTCAAGAAAAAGAAAAGGCATCAAAATTGGAAAGGAGGAAATAAAACTATTTGCAGAAGACATGATCATATATCTAGAAAATCCTAAAGAAAAAAGACAAAAAACACAAAGTATCACAAAGTCAGCAAAGGTGCAGGATACATGCAAAAGTCAATTGTATTTCTATATACTAGCAATAGAAAAAGCAAAAAGGAATTAAGAAAACAATTCTATCAATATTTACAATAACATCAGAAAGAATAAAATTCACCCAAGAGGTGCAAGACTTATACTCTGAAAATACAAAACATTGCTGAAAGAAATTAAAGACCTAAATAAATTGAAAGACATCCCATGTTCATGGATTGGAAAACTTGATTTTAGATATTTTG